AAAAAAAAAAAAAAAAATGAAAAAATGGTTTATCCATCAAAGGAAGGTGAAGCTAATGCTATTATCTAGTGTGCAAGTAAATGTTTTATGCAGTAATGACAAATGGCTTACCTGTCATCAATGATATCACAGAGCTTCATAGCTGAAGGGTCAGGTAGACAGATGGGACTGGTAGGAATAGGCGAACAAGGAAGGTCTTTGGGTTTACAGTAAGGCTTTGCGGGATCGTTATACACCCATGATGAAGACGTCAGTCCACAGCACGTGTCGTCCTCGACCGTGCCATCCCTGCGCACACAAGACGCTCCAGCACAAACACCTGCACGACACAGTTAATGAGGCTCAGCACACACCTGGACAGTACAGGCTGAAAGCTGTGATGTATAAAAAGGTGCTGGAGCAGATTCACCATCACACACACACTTATACAACGCAATCAAAGAGTTATGCACATACATAACAATACTACAGAAATGACATACGCACCACACTGTCCTTCAGTATTATGCTCAAAGTTTTCCATTGCCAAGGTAACAGTTAGGTCACTGTTTACTGAGATGGAGACACTGGAGCGAATTTTGTTAATATACAGTAAAACCTTGTAACCAGTTTTCTCAAATCTCATCCCCTGATCTTCGTAAGGTGGCACTATTTTCTTGTTGTTGAGTTGGCACTGGAAATAATTGCACCAATTAGGAAAGTGTTCACTTTGAGCGAGAAAGAAATATATGAAAACTAAAGGTATCATGAATACATCAGGGTACTTCGTCCACATACAGTGATCCCCCGCTATATTGCGGATCCGCTATCGCGCCCCCGCTATACTGCGTATTTTTCCCCGACGCGTCACAGTTCTCTGCGTATCGCGTACCTTGCTTGTGATCTGATTGGTTTCGTTTTGTTTTAAGCCCTACGACGGCTCCCAAGCGTCACGTCTTCTAAGCTGTCTGATAATAGTGAGCCTAAGCGCCAGAGGAAGACCTTGACCATTCTGGAGAAGGTAAAACTCCTGGATATGCTTCCGGAAGGAAAGCGTTACGCGGATGTCGTTCGTATAATTTATTATTAATAATATTATTATTATGTTACTCATATCCCTAGTCCGACATCCACATATATGTGTTGTTTTAATAAGTTTACATGTGTTTAAAACGTGTGGGAGGGGTATTTTAAGGCTTAAACTATATTTAAAAATGTTTATTTATATGGCCTTTCTATATCGCGGATTTTCACCTATAGCTGATGGGTCTGGAACGTATCTTCCGCAATAGGCAGGGGATCACTGTATATTACTGCTAGGTATTAGGGCAAACATATAGCATTAGGGCAAACAAAAAAAAGGTTTCCTTTCCTGGAGATGCTTACCTGGATTTTGTTTCCATTTACATATAAGGTGGCACTGGAATTCATATATTGCACTATGACGCCCTTAACAAATGAGCCCTTGTAATATTTAACTAGGTAGTTGTCCACAGCAACGAGGAAATTATATCGTGGCACCTTCTCCTTCACCAGGATATAAGTGCAGTTGTCATAGCTGTCATATGCTGTGCCTTGGAAGGTGATGTAGTGGGGATCTCCATAGAGATCACACTGACCTGGGAGAGAAAGTGAAACTCATTCCAATTAGGGGTCATAGGGGGTCAAATGAAGAGAGACAAAACGACTCCTGAAGGAAGGAGGTAAACATGCTGAGATAAATCAAAATAAGGAGAAACTTCTTAGAGTCTAACTTGATGGATAAATGCGAGGACAGACAAGATGTTGATCAGATGACACTTACAATCACAAGTCCATCTGCTGCAGCAATCATCAGAGATATTCCTTAGCAGTCCTCTGGGACACTGTGGTTTTGTAGTTTCTGGACAGGGGGGGCAAACTAAAGGAAGCAGATGTGTGATGAGACATCGAAACAGACCCATAGCCTTAGGATAGAGGGCATTATGAAGAGCTACCTGCTGTACACCAGTGGACACATCTATATTTATATGGCTGTTATATGAGAAGATTTATAAGGTGACAATCTTTAGTAGTAAATACATCTGTTTATGAGCATTTGTGACTAACTCCAATTAAAAGAGCATGTAGAAACACACAGCACTGAAATTAGTGCTGAAGTTAGGAAAATGGCAGACATACATAGGACACACAGATACATTTCAGGGAAAGAACAAAAAAGCCACTTTGTGTGACAAATGTTAAGACAAGTGCATTAAAGGTGCCATATAATGAATATCTGACTTTACCTGTCTATAATTCAACAAGGAGAGTTTGGTGCACGGAACTGACATACCGGGAATCTCAAACACTGTCGTTCCCTCTTTCAGATATAAATCCCGCAGATGTAAAAGAAGGTGGCAAAATGGTCTGATTCAAAAATCCTAGACTGTTACTTAACGGTTGTAACTACACCAACCAAATTTAACACACACCAGCCCACATTCAAGCCCAACGGACCTGCACAACCCGCCACATGTTATCTCTCTTGATGCCAAGCATGAAGTTACCACAAGTACACCTGGAGAGGAAAAAAATATAACCTGATAGTCACTGATGTAAGGTTATTTATTACTAATAAGCTATGGAGGTCAGTCCTATTCAGGGGCATGTTTCCCAAAAACTGCCATTAGCAACTTACACAATGGGACCAGCAGGGGAGCAGCAAACAACATCACAAAGTCTGTGTTACATTGACAAGAGGCTTCTGTACTGCATGTAGCCTATTTCTGGTTAGCTAAACAAATATCTAATTGATACTTAAATATAATTGAAAGTAAAATTGAAAGCAGAAGTCCAAATTCATTACAAACAGCACATATATGAGCTGCTCAGCTTGCTGTTTGGAGTTCTTGATAAAAATTGCTTGACGAAGCCAACACTGTAAAATCGTTTGTTGACTGAGATGCAAAATAATTACAATGGTCTTGTTACAATGCTAAAAAAGGTATGACTATACTGTACTAACTATGCTTAGACTGAAATGGGACTATTACAGTTATGTGTGGTAAAGTAGAAAGCATATTCTACAATAACGATAGAAAGTACAGTGTAGTATATACAAAAAGTAGTAACAGTTACTATCATTATCAGGCATTATGTACTGTACACAATTTATACTTTTACATGACTGGCAGCACAGAAGGCTTTTTTTACACCAGCATCACCACAAACATCTGAGGTATTTTTCAGCTCCGTTACGATCTTATGGGAGCACCATCATAAATGTGGTCTATCGTTGACCAAAACATCGTTGTGTGGCGTGTGACCGTAAAGATGTTTGTTCGGTGTGAACCACCACAGTGTCTCACTGTAGACCAATCAATCAGAGCAAAGCTCCCCAACATATTAATGAGGCAACCAAAAAAAAAAGGAAAATGGCCTGTTTCATTCTAGGTTTGGATAACAGGGTTTTAAATGGACCTGTAAAGCCGCTTCGGGGCATTGTTTGACCAAACCAAGTTCACGTACCTTTCAGGTAGAGACTAGAGAACAATCTAAATTGCTAAATGCATTCTATGGCACTTTTAATTGCTGGTTTCAATGCTGCATAGAGGCCTATATGTAAATATGGTTACCACAAGTTGCTGTGTTGCAGCACCCGTCAAAGGACCATTTGAGTTCTCCACCAGAACAAGAAGGATTTTCTGGACACGTGGTTGGACATTCTAAATGAAGAGAGCAAGCAGGATAAGGTTCCCGGATTTTGTCTAAATTACATATACTAAATATACATGCTTATATATACTAAATATACATGTTCTAGTTTTTGTTCTAACAATAACAGTAATTCCAGATTTTTTTTGGACATTAATACCTAAAAATAAGGCACTAGACAGAAGATACTTACCACATTTCATAGTCCAGCAGCACCCATTAGACACATTCATTAACTTGCCACCATCACACTGCGGTACCTTTGGTACTGGACAGGAGCAAACTAAAGACAAGCACCATTGAAGTGAGGGAAGGCAACTTTTTGATTTCACATGTGTTATCGTGCACACTCTGTTGTGTAAATACAGTGATAAAACACATATGGCAGGGAACTTTTAAAGGAATCAAGGAAGAGTGACACGTACAGTATAGCAATTGTGTGAAGAGCTTCAGAGAGTTAATTTCAAAACAATTCTGAACAAAGAAAGAGCGTGAACATTTTGAAAAAGATATCTGATAAACTATTTTTAAAAATGAAGGATAACACTTTACTTGATGGGGCACAAATAATATAGTATTATGCTATTACTTATGTACTGATTAATCATAAACTAACTCTTAGTTACATTCCAATTTCATGTTAATTCACAATAAATAAATCATGATATTTTATTTGTTACTATATCTGTAAATTCTGTAAACCATTCTGAACTATTGAAGGAACTACTGAAGGCCTAAGCAATGAATATCATCTCATGCTTTTTCTTTGTGACGTGTCTTTTATCTCAATTAATGACTATATTTGTTCATAATCTGTTTATGATTTGTACATGATCAGATCTATAAGTGGGCACGGGTGCTCTGCCCACCAACTTCAACTTTATTCTGCGCCATCGGAATCTGCCAATCATGTTTATTTAATTTGTCCCATCAGAATTTCCTGATTTCCAATTTTCTATTTGGACAGAATAAGTAACGTTTTAAATAAATAAGTTTTAAATTCCACATCACTCTGAGTAGCCTTTCCCCATCCTGGCTACATAATATGGTTGTTTTACTTTATTATTAGTTATTATTGCTGATGTCTTATTGTGTATAATTTCTAAATTAAACTTTATTATAGTTATGTATGTACATAAAAATAAGTTATTTATAGTGTTCGCTACTATTCACAGTTGGCAATCCTAGGTAGGTCTTGTAACCTGTGGATATGGGGGCACTACTATATTTAACATTTGACAGTTTGCTAACGTTAATATCAGCGCTCAGTAAAGTTACCTAGTTAGATAGATTCACTTAAATTAATCCTACACAGCTATCAACAGCATGCAAATCAAAACATGCTATCAGTTAAAGCTGCTGTTAGTTTGAATAACCAAGCTTTGTTACTCGTGCCTTCGGATCAAGTGGGCAGTTCAATCAATAATGTTACACCTTCCCTGCCAGCTTTGCACCAACACAGTGCAGGTAGCTGGGTAGTTTCCACATTTGTAAAGCTAGTTTGTTTATGGTTTGGTAAATTTAGCTTTTAATATTTCCACTATAATACTGTAAATGTTCTACTCTTTTATGTTCTTATGTCAGCTCATGAGTTTGAGTTCCATATTTGCCTTTAATATGCCAGTAGATTATTAGATAAGCTTTTAAATCAAAGTGTGATTAGCAGAAACTTCCATCCAAATCACCTTACAGAAATCACAATGATAATCATTAATAACAATAGAAATGTCTTTCCTGATTAGAGAGATGACCAAAATCATAGAGTTCCCAAATAGTTAAAAACATGAAATATGAAAATGTCCATATGCCTCACCTATTTCTCTGGTCACACATTGCTACTGCACTGCAGTATAGTTCATTGTGAAATGCTGCCCACCCAAATTATTTAATTGCCCTCCCAAAGTGAGCAGTCTAGATCTGGGCCAGGATTAGTACTTCAGTACTAGCTGAGTTATTACTGAAGTACTTTTGCCCTGTCGTGTAAAGTGTTACCAAATGAAGACCACTGCTCTTTGTGATAATAACCCCACTTGAATTTAAGTTTAACTTTAACTTCAAGTATTTGATTATGTTGTACTGTACATGATGCTGAGATTATTCATATGGTGGCTGATTCTGCTAAAGTGTATATCATACTTACATGGTTCAGTGACACTTGTGGTTGACCTAGTTGTAGTTGATCCAGTGACAATCGGGGTTGACCTAGATGAAGTCAGTACAGTGGTAGTTGTGGTTGACCCAGTCGTAGTTGGTCCAGTGGCAGTTGTGGTTGACACAGTTGTAGGTGATCCAGTGAGAGTCGTGGTTGATCCACTTGTGGCTGGTCCAGTGATGACTGTGGTTGATCCACTTGTGGTTGGTCCAGTTGTAGCTGGTCCAGTGATACTTGTGGTTGACCCAATTGTAGTTGGTCTAGTGATAGTCGTGGTTGATCCAGTTGTAGTTGGTGCAGTGATAGTCGTGGTTGGTCCAGTTGTAGTTGGTCCAGTAGCAGTTGTGGTTGACCCAGTCGTAGTTGGTCCAGTGGCAGCCGTTGTGGACCCAGTTGTAATTGGCTCAGAAATACTTGTGGTTGACCCAGTTGTAGTTGGTCCAATAATAATTGTGGCTAACCCAATTGTAGTTGTCCCAGTGGCAGTTGTGGTTGACTCAGTCATAGTTGGTCCAGTAATAATTGTGGTTGACCCAATTGTAGTTGGTCTGGTGACAGTCGTGGTTGATCCAGTTGTAGTTGGTCCAATGGCAGTTGTGGTTGACCCAGTCGTAGTTGGTCCAGTGATAGCTGTGGTTGATCTAGTTATAGTTGGTCCAGTAATAGTCGTGGTTGATCCAGTTGTATTTAGTCCAGTGATAGTCGTGGTTGGTCCAGTTGTAGTTGGTCCAGTAAGAATTGTGGTTGACCCAATTGTAGTTGGTCCAATGATAGTCGTGGTTAGTCCAGTTGTGGTTGGTCCAGTGATACTTGTGGTTGACCCAGTCGTAGTTGGTCCAGTGATAGTTGTGGTTGACCCAGTTGTAGTTGGTCCAATGATAGTCGTGGTTGATCCAGTTGGAGTTGGTCCAATGATAGTCGTG